TGCCGCTGTAGCAGCTGCCGTGCACGCCACTGACAACTAAGCGCGCGGCATGACTGTTCCCCCCCAGGTACGGTCGATCACCAGCATCATCCTCATGTTCATCATCATGACCATCATGTCCATCATCAGCAGTATCACCATCATCCATCATTCCCGCCATCAGTTCCTCTCCTTTCTTCTGTCTTCCCCCCTCGCCATCGTACCTCCTCCTCCTCCAACCGGGAGGCCACACAGGAGGAGAAACAGGAACGCCACATCTGCAATGTTCCTCTATACGTTGGCGGGCCCAGTGCCTGGAGATGCCTGTGAGATCAGCCACGTGTAGCCGATTGTACCACCCGTTTTCTGCTAGCCCGCTCTTTGGATCCCCACCCCACCCTTCCATCGCTCCTCCGCCATTCCTCATTCTCCTTCCCCTCATCATCAACCGTCTCCTCCTCCTCGTCCTCCATCCCGCTTCTTCCCAACCAGCCTTCCCAGTCGCACCCCCAGGCGTGTCGCCGCTTGACATTCACACCGCATTCGCAACATTACAGCTTGGACTTCGCAATAGCTTCATTGATGAAAAGGGTGGTTCAAAATGTGGTTCCCGCCTTAGGGCCACACGCATGAGGAGGAGCAGGAGGAGGAGGGGGAGGAGGAGGAGGAGGAGGGGGAGGAGGAGGAGGAGGAGGAGGAGGGGGAGGAGGAGGGAGGGCGGAAGAGGGAGGAGGAAGAGGAGGAGGAGGAGGAGGAGGAGGAGGAGGAGGAGGGGGAGGAGCATCTGTTCCAAAGGTGTGCAGCAACTTCACGGACGGAGGGCGGTTCCTTTTCAGCATGTGGCGTTCGCCATGGCGCCGCGCACATTCGATTTTGAACGGTTTGTCTGCCGAGGGACTCCCGTGGGCGGGTCCTCTTGGCGCGTTGGGGGCAAAAAGCTGCGAGTTGGGGCAGAGAAAGGGAAAGAGAGAGAGAGAGAGAAAACAACACCAAAAAACAGAGAGAGAGAGAGAAAGAGAAAGAGAGGCGAAGCCGTACCAGGGATTCTTTGGAAAGGGTTCCTTAGTAAGGATTCCGTATTGTGGAGTCTTTAGTGCGGATATTTGTATTAAGATTTGTTTCGGATCGGAAGTGTTCGGTAGGGATCCTTTTGACATGGACTCCTGCGCGGGAAGGGATTCTGTATGGTGGGGTCGTGCCTAAAGATTATTATCCCAGGATGTATTGTTGGAGGGGTCCCCGGTAAAGGTTGTATCAGTAAGGGTCCATGAGTCCGGATTTGTCCGTAAGCATGCCGTCGTATTGATTCTTCGGTAAGGGGTTCTCGGAGAGGATTGCCCCGCAAGGATTCAGTAGGAATGATCTCTTAGGAAAGGTGTCCTTCGGCAAGCGCTGGATTTACAATACATATGTGTAATAGTCATGTCTCAGTGTCTGTAAAATGTCTTGAATGGCAGTCTGTCGGAATCGTCCTCAAGCTGGGGGTGAGCAAATACAAACAAACCAATCCACGACACAACCACATCAGCACAAACCAATTTAACTAAATACCAAGGGTTATAGCCATGCAGGAGAAAAACTATGATGAGTCACATGAAACAACAAACTTACATTCCATGATCTGCACGGGCGGCGGGATTGACGAAGTCTTTCATCATGTGTGTGTGTGGTGCGTAGTTTGTTGTGTTGGGTGTGTCTTCTATTGCCTTGCGTTCTGAGCCGTCGGTCTTTTGGTTTTCTGTTGTGTTTGTGGCTATCTTGTGGTTCCATGGTATTTGTCACCTCCCTCCCCCCCTCGCCTCGAGGGGATAAGAAAAATGACGATGAGGAGTAGGAGGAGGAGGAGGACGACGACGATGAGGACGAGGAGGGCCAGCCTCCCTCGCCTGAAGAGAAAAGGAGGTGGGTCAAGGCGGTAGGCGCGCGGGCTCAAGTAGTACAGCCATGTCCAAGAGCAGGGGCTGCTCCGCAAGGGTTCCTCCTTGAGGATTTCCTCAGCAATGTGTCCTTCGGTACGGGTTGAGTCGCCAAGGTTCTCCAGTAAGGAGTTCTTAGAAATGGCGCTATGGCGCGCAGCTCTTGTGCTAACTAAGGGCTCCTTCGCACGCGCGCTTGATGATCCCTTGGTGAGGATTCGCTCGCCAGGTTATATTAGCAAGGGCTCCCAGGTTTGAGTAACCGGGCAAGGGTTCCACACCAGGGCTTTTTCGATTAAGGATTCCCCAGTCAACGAGTCCTAGGAATGCTTTGCCCATGCGGATCCGTCATACGGAATTCAATCGGGGATCGTTACCCATGCGCGTGCTAAGGAGAGGGTCCTACACACAGGAAAATGCGCACGAAGGAGCACTCTCAAAGACATCCGTACTAAAGAATCTTGGCGGCCCTTCTGCAAGACCCATTACGGAGTCAATTCTTATTGAGGGATCCTTGCGGGGCAGCCTTTGCCAGGCGTGAGAAGCTGGCCCTCCTCGTCCTCGTCGGCGTCGTCCTCCTCCTCTCCCTTTTCTTCCTGCTCTTCCTCATCGTCCTTCTCCTTATCCCCTCCAGGCGGTGAGGATGTGAACTGAAACAAAAAAACGACGGCTCCGACCATTGAAAAAAATACAAGGGGCAAACAGAACAGCTACTTAGTCACCACCGCCGCCCCCACAGAAAAGGCTGTACGTGTTAGGTTGTCGTTTGGTGTTGAGTATTCCTTATTGTGTTGGTGCGTCAGTCCTGGGTCTGTGGTTTCTTTGTGTTGTGGTGGTGTTCCCTGTGCTTGTTGAACTCCCAGCTGGAGGAAGAAGATGATCTGGAAGATGCCAGAGATCGTGGAAACGTAAGACACGCCGGATTTCGGGTTTGTCGACGCTGTTTGACAAGCGCGTCCTGGATTGTGACGGCTCAGTTTTCGTGGGATGTTTGCAAAGGGAGTTCGCCTCAAATTTCAGATTGGGTCTCGTCATTTTCATGATGGCCCCGTCAGTCCAAGCCGAGTTCCCCGAACACGAGCCTTACGTCTCCCCAGAAAGAGGACGATCAGAAAGAATGAGCAGGGAACAGTGGATTGAGGATGATGGGGAGGAGGATGAGGAGATCGATGGACATTTCGTTGAATTGTCTGGTTATTGCTATTCGCATCCCTGTCGACGCGCCAGAAAAGATGCAAGGCGGTGCCTTTTCAAAGCAGTGCCCTCGTCAGAATGGCAGGCCCCATTGCCAACATTGTTCAAAGGGGGGACACATTCTTATTGAAAAAGGAAGGTTTGTAGGGCCGTATGAGGAGGGGACTTGGGACGCGAGGGCGTATTGGAGACCGTTTTGAAAGTGGCCTACACTCCCCGGCCATCGTCGAGCCCCAGGGTGAAGCAGTTGTCCAGATTTCACTGGATCGCTCGAGGTTGGAGATGGACAGAATGCTGCAAGCTCTGTAGGAACTCAGTTCACTCAGATCGTGCCCCGACTCGTGCATGCCGCGGCGAGCCCGGGGATATGGATCTGAAGAAAGTTGCAGGCCTTGGTCACTGCGCAGTTGCGTTCCCATGTTCTGATGACAGCATTCTCTTCTAGATGCTTGGCGTAACTCCACCAGCCCATCCAGAAAGGATGCCCAGGCGGGCTGCTCCCATGCAGTGGAATAAAGCGGGAAGCCGTCGTACCCCAAAAAGGGAGGATAGAGGAGGAATCGTAGAAGGAGGGGGAGGGGGAGCAGGAGGAGGAGGAGGACGACGACGACGGCGAGGGTGAGGGGGGGGGAGAGAGGAGAGAGGAGGAATAGGCGGATGAGGAAGAGGATGATGAGGAGGAGGAGGAGGAGGAGGGCGAACAGAAAGGCCAGAGGCCTCTTGGGTGCCTCATGGAGTCGATTCGGATTCTTGGAGTTTTATTTCGGGGTTCTGGGTGGCCTCTTGGCGGTCCCGGGGGTTTCTTGGGTGCCTCGGGGCAGCCTCTTGGGGCCTCTTGGGGGTCTCTTGAGAGCCACTTGGGGACCTCTTGGGGGCCTCTTGGGGGCTGTTGGGCGCCTCTTGGGGCCCTCTTGGGGCACTCTTGAAAGCCTTGGGGGCCACCTTGAGGCCATCTTGGAGGGGATCGATCAAAGAATGGGGGCTAGTAAATTAGGTTTCCTCTGCGGGAGGGCAACTTTGGCCCAACGTATATGTATAAATGATGATTTCGGCCTTCTCGCCGAGGCCGTCTTGCACGCTCCTATGGGTCGCACCCCCCCTCCAGACCCAGCGAAAGGGGGTTAGGGGAAGGTGAAACCCCTCCCCGAAGGGAAAGGTGAAAGATGGAAGAGGAAGCGCCCTAAACCACTCACGCCCTACAGGGCTGGTGAGATTCGTTTGTGTCCACTGCGTTTTCTTTGTTTTTGCTGGCTCTCCTCTCAAAAGCAACCTGCTCAATCAACGCTGTACGAGAGTGAGGGAGCCACTCCAGAAGACGAAATTGAAACCCATGTTGAGATGCAAGCACCCCGACCCTCGGAACATATCTGTGAGTGTGAGCCCAGATGACATCCTCAGAGTCTGAAGCTCTGAACCCCCCCCCTCTCTGCCTGTCTTCGCACCACCGCCCACCTCGGAGGACGACTTTCCAGCAGATGCGGCGGCTGCTGCGCTGGCTAGTACTGCTCAGCTCCACGAGGTGGAGGCTGCTCAGCTCCACTAGTACTGCTCGGCCCCATTTCGGCTGTCTCGTGATGATCTTGGCATCGCTCCGACGTGTGCATTTTTTTCTCGGCGAGGACCGTCGAGGACCATCCTGGGCCATCCAGCAAAACAAAAACACGCACGAAACCGAAAAATGCACGGGAAATGGACGTCCGAGCGACGGCAAGTGATCGGGATAGGGGGGCTGCATCGGGGTCCAGGCCATCTCGTTCGCTGCCGCGCCGCCCGCTTTCACACCTGTCAAGCTCAGCCGGTCCGAGCTACAGTCTTCACCTGCAGCTGGAGCCCCGCGGACCAAAAAGCCCTCCCCCGCCCTCCCCCGGGCCCCGCGAGTCTCCCCTCCTCCGCCCGCCCTGCCCCCCCAAGGCGGGCGTCGCGTCGCGCGCATACCACGCCGGCCTCCCGCCGCACACGCGCAGGGCGACGTTCGAGGCGTGGATGCGAGGCTAGCCCTGGGCGCGCGGGGGGCTCGCGGGGCTGCCCCCCCCCCGACGCTCGAGGAGGCTCGATTCTCCGAGGAGGGCGAGCCGAGACGACGGCTGGACGCAGCTCGAGAGGCCGGTGCGTATGGACCCCGGGGAGGGGTTGCGGGGGACCGACTGCGAGCTGCCTGCTGTCACGGCTCGATCTGCTCCGACCGCCGCGTGACCACGCCGGGCTTGGCCGGGCCGCCTCCTCCTCCTCTCCCCCCCGATCAAGAGGGAGGAGGAGGAGGAGGAGGAGGAGGAGGAGGAGGAGGAGGAGGAGGAGGAGGAGGAGGAGGAGGAGGAGGAGGAGGGAGGAGGAGGAGGAGGAGGAGGGAAGGTGCGAAGGCGAGGGGGGGAAAGAGGTGGAGGAGGAGGAGGACAACAGGCGAGGGATGGGTGTTCGCCGATCCTGGGCAAGGGCAAAGGATGTGGCTGGCCAGGATCGGTGCAAGAACAGGCACTTCGCGCCCACGTGACCCATATATAGAAACATCGGCGAGGGCCGGGAAAGGAAGTGAGCGGACGAGACCTCTGAGGTCCCTCGAGAGGCCTCCGGAGGTCTCGAGGAGGTCCCCAGGAGGCCTCCAGAGGCCTCCGGAGGCTTACAGAGGTCCCCAGAGGCCTTGTCCTGAGGCTTCTGGAGGCCACAAGACCGTCAGCTAGAATCAATCCTCTGTCCTGAATCCTCCTTCCCCCTCCCACCTTCTCAAGGATAAGAAGAGAATGATTTGTTGAGGGTGCACTGCTGCATCAAGGCTACCCTTGCATCCCTGCTTCTTCGGCCCATCCTGAGCCAATGTTGACGTCCAAGACGCACTACCATGCTACATGGAAGTTCCAAGGATCTTGCATCCTCACCTTGCATCCTTAGTGTGGGTTTTGACGGTGCAGCGTGTCGAAGTGGCAATTCCGAAGCGACGCAGGCCAGGGGCCCGAGAGGTGGCCTGCGAGGGGCGTGGTAGAGGCAGAAAAGGAGAGTCGCGTGCTGCTAGAAGTGGCATCCACTTTCACCACCTCCACCTCCTCCTCCTAAACCTCGAGAACGGGGGATTGTGGAGTACCTCGTCTCTCGGCGGGTGTTTTCCCGTTTCTCCATGCCCTGTTCTTCCTACTCTTCTTCCTTCTCCTCCTCTTCCTCCTTCTCATCAACCTCCTCATCCTCATCCTTCTCATTCTCCTCCTCCGCCTCTTCCCCCTCCTCCTTTCCTCAGAATCGTGTTTGCGTGATTCTCCTGACCTCCCCCCGAAAGAAAAAAACAGCAACAAACACACAAACAAACAAAAACGCGGAGCGATCCCGAATTTGTTTGTTTTTTTGCGGGGGGCGGTGGTGGAAGGCGAACGCCTCCTCCTTTCTCTCTCACCCGTCCTCATTCTCCTCCTCTCTCCTCCAGAATCGGGCTTTTCATCTTCCTGCCCCCCCCCCCCCCCGAAAAAAAGAAAAGAAAAGAAGAAACAAGCGGAAGGAGAAGAAACACATCGATTCTGGGGGATGGAGGAGGACGGGATTGTGGAGTACCTCGTCTCTCGGAGGGTGTTTTGCCGTTTCTCCATCGCCTGTTCCTCCTTCTCCTCCTCTTCCTTCTCTTCCTCTTCCTCCTTCTTTCGTACGCTGGGCTCCTCTTCCTCCTTCTCATCAACCTCCTCCTCTGCATCCTTATCATTATTCTCCTCCTCTTCCTCCTCCTCCTTTCCTCAGAATCGTCTTTTTTTGATTATCCTGACCCCTCCCCAGGAAACAAAAGAAGAAAAAACAATAAAAAAAAACAACGCGGAGCAATCTCGTTCTTTTTGTTTGGGGGGGGGGGCTCCTCCCCCTCCTCCTCCTCCTCATCCTCCTTCGCACTGCTCCGCTCCCTCCTCCTCTTGCCCATTCTCTTTCTTGCCCAGAATCTAGCGTTTTGCTTCTCTCCCCCGCCAGCCTCCTCCTCCTCCGCCTCCTCCTCCTCTCCTCCTCCTCCTCCTCCTCCTCCTCCTCCTCCTCCTCCTCCTCCTCCTCCTCTTCCTCCCCTTAGAATCAGAGCTTCTTGCTATTGAGATGATTCAAAAGAGAGACATGCCGCGCATGGCATTGCATTGGCATTGGTTTGGCCATGGTTAGACATCGCATTGGCAGAGCGCTTGGCAGCGCGTTGGCACTGCGATTGCATGTCGCAAGCATTGCGCTGGCGGTTCCAAATGGAACTCTCCACAAAAGGATTCAGATTGAAACTCTCTACCAGAAGGGCTCCTATCGCCCCCCCCCCCCCAAAAAAAAACACGGCTCATTCACGTTGAAACCTTACGCATAAGGATTACATGCGAAGCTTTCCACATAATGATATCTATTGAAATCGGTCACACATGCGTTCCCCCATTGGTATTGCATTGGCATTGGGTTCGGATCGCCTTGGCATTGGGTTGGCATTGCGTCGGCACTGCTTCGGCATTGCGATGGCATTGTGCTGGCGAGTTCCAATACCTCCCTTCGCAGAATGGTTCCTATTGCGCCCCACACAAGACGGATTCCGATTGAAACATTCCACAATAAAGGCCCAGATTGAGCCCATTCGAAGCCCTCCACAGAAGAACTCCTATTGAAACCGACCACAATCGATTGCCCCCCAGGCATAGCAGTGGGATTGGATTGGGCTTGCAATCGCATTGGTTTGGCATTGTGTTGGCGCTGCTTTGGCGTTGCGATTGCGAGTTCTAATAGCTCCCACCATAAGGGTTCCTAGTGACATCTTCCGCACAAAGGGTTCCTGTTGAAAGCCCCCGCATGAAAGGTTCATGGCAAAACCCCCATTGAAGGATTAGTGCCGAAACCCTCCACGGGAAGATTCCTATCGACATCCTCCGACGAAGGATCCGTATCCAAATCATCCACCGAAGGATTTCTGTTGGACTCGGTTGAAAGACTGGAATCATGCCATCGGCATTGCGTTGGCATTGGTTTGGTAACGATTTGGCATCGCGTTGGTATTGTGTTGGCCTTGCCATGGCAGTGCGCTGCCATTGCGGTGGCATTGCGCAAGCGACTCCCAACCACACGCTCCACAGAAAATGATGTCTACGGCCCCCCCCCCAATAAGGATTCACGTTGCAATCCTCCACAGAAGGGTTCCCTGTGAATCCCTCCACAGACGGATTTTTATTGAAATCCAATGAGGAAGGGTCTTTAGAAAGATTTCTTTGTGGACGACATCATCCATAGAAGGGCTCTTAGACGAATTGCCATTGGACGCTAACACAAGAAATACACTCCATTGGGGTTGCATCGGTATAAAATTTGGATCGCCCTGCCGTTGGTTTGGCATTCCGTTGGCACTGCGTTGGGATTGTCCCCTTCGCAGAACGTTTCCCATTCAAACCATCCACAAACAAGATTCCTTCTGGAACCTATAACAAAGGATTCCCCCCCCCCCATTGGCAGTGCATTGGCATTGGATTGGGATCGCCTTGGCATTGGCTTGGCATTGCGATGGCACTGCGTTCGCATTGCGATGGCACTGCGCTGGCGATTCCGAGCGGCTCCCTCCGCAGAAGAACTCCTGCTGAAGCCCTCACAAAAGGATTCCTAGTGAAACCCTCCACAGGAGCATCCCAACCGAAACCCTGCACAGAGGCATTCTTATTGAATTCCTCTGAAGAAGAATTCGTAATGACACCGTCCACAAAGGATTCTGACTGAAACCCACCGAGCGAAACGAATCCCCAATTCACATTGCAGTGGGCACAGACGAGTTCGCCAAGCAAGGAGCCAAGCTGCACGGAGTTCGTGGGGCTCAAATACCACTGCTGGCGAGGCTTAGTAGAGTTGGCCCGAAATGCCGCGAGATGGAACGGGGGTGTGCACGCGTTGGTGGGGGACGGGGTGGAGGCGACTGATCACGTCGATCTGATGGAGGCATACACCAGCGAGCGCGTGGCTGAGGAGGCCTCGCGCCAGGCTGTCGCGCCAGGCTGAGAGCGCTCCTCTGCCGCCCGCTGCCGCGCAGCCAGTACCTTCGGAGGCTCCCGAACCAGGCTTGTTCCAGGCCCCCTCCCTCCCAGGACCCCACCAAAGGGCGGGGGGGACCTTCGGGATGCGGGATGCGGGATGCGGGATCCACGCCCTGGCGACGACCGGGGTTGGGCAGAGAGGACGGGATGACCCTATAGATGCTCGCTGTGCTTGCGGTGCCCTCTTCGGAGGGCAGAGAAGCCCACCCGGGGCCCTCGTCAGGCCGCCGCCCGCCGTGCGCGTACGCGTCGTTTGTGGCTCCCGAGGGGGCAGCCGTGGAGACGGAAGGCTCGACGGTGGCCGTCGCACAAAGTGGGCAAGAAACAACATGGGCCCGGATCCTCCGGACCTCCTCCTCCCCCTCCTCCTCCCCCCTCCTCCCCCCTCCTCCTCCTCCCCCTCCTCCTCCTCCTCCTCCTCCTCCTCCTCCTCCTCCTCCTCCTCCTCCTCCCCCTCCCGGAAGGGGGCTCTTCGGGAGATCCGAGTGCGCTCGGCAAGTCTTTGCAGTCCCAGTGCGGAAGGGGGGCCCAGGGTCGGACACTGGAACATGTAAAAATGATCAGTGGTGGGCGCTTTTTCAATCCCAGGTTCTCTTTGAGGGTCGGGGACGACGTCGGGGTCGTGTGGTGTATACTGGTTTCCGCATTTCCCAAGGGAGGCAGCGACAAATGTATACGCCAGGATCCCGTATACACCTGGATCCGCTTTCCTGTGCGAGCTCCCGGTGCGCAGCCGGAAGAAGCGTCGGTTTATAGAGTTCGGTTCCCTACAGGGGCCAGCGGCGGGGGGGGCGCGAAGCGCTGGTCCCGGGCCCGCCCGCCCCAGGGCCCTCGTGCTTGGCGTTCCTGGCCTGTCCGAGGCCGACCTCCCCTCGGCAGGGAGCCCTTGGGGCGCGCCTCCTCTCCGCACCAGAAGGGGCGTTCGAGCCTGCCTCCGAGGCGGGAGGCGGCAGTGCCTCCGACCTCGAGGCCGAGGGCCAGCAACCCTCGACTTGCCTTCTGGCCGATGTCTGATCTTATCATACCTCCTCCTCCTCCTCCTCCTCCTCCTCCTCCTCCTCATCATCATCATCATCCTCATCCTCATCCTCATCCTCATCATCATCATCATCATCATCATCATCATCATCATCATCATCATCATCATCATCATCATCATCCTCATCCTCATCCTCATCCTCATCCTCATCCTCATCCTCATCCTCCTCGTTACCAGCGTCTCTTATTTCCTTCGGGCCTCCACCCGTCTCCGCCCGCCACCCGCTCTCCCCGTCCTCTCCGCCCGCCATCCGCCCAGCACCCCGTCTCCTCCTTTTGGTCGCTTCCCCGAGCCTGCGGGGACTCGTCCCAGTGGGATCCCTCCCCGGTGCCAGCACGCTGCAGGGTCTGCTGGGGATTCGTCCACCTCAACCCCTCTGCCTCCCCCAGCAATCCTCAACACACATTGTTTGGTCTCCATCGGAAATACCCTCAACAAGACCCTGCCGAGCATCCCCCCTCTACACCACTCCTGCCCGCTCTCCCTCCACCTCTCCCGCTCCGAGCTCCCCCTGTTTGGCCCTTCTTGTGGCCGTCTTGGGGCGATCTGCGGGTCCACTTGGGCCGCCGTGGGCGCGCTGGAGAAAGCATGATTCGAAACTTGCGCGAGATCTTTGGTGATGCTCGCCTTGGGCCGGGCCTCCAGGGCTTCCAAGGAGAAAGCTGAAGGCCCCAGACCAGCCCCCAGGCCATCTCAGGGCACGTTGAAAGTTTAGACTCCGAACCACGGTGCTGAGGCCTCTGGAGAAAGCCGCGCGAGAAGCCCCGAGAGCGCCCGGGACAGCCCGTGCGGAGTCGGGGGATACGCTGGAAATCGGAGATTTGTGTAAAGAAAGGTGATGGCACTCCACACATGGCCTGCGGCACGGTGGCGGATGTTCATGACGACAGCGTCTGCCTCTTGAAATGTCGGGCGTGGCGCGCACGATGCGCACGACTGGGCCACGTTCGGTTGCGAGGGAGTCGGCTCAACAAGTTGGCCAGCCCCAGCCCAAAGTGCCAGTCGTGCCCCCTGAGAGCGCCAGTGATCTCAGGCGCCTCGATTCACTCGGGTTGCCGAACACAGGGGTGACGTCTTGGCCCACAGCAGACACACTGCAGCCTGCAGCGTCCCGCATAATCCTCTTCTCTTGGCCCCTCCATCCTTCTGTGTATCCCTCACTCCCCCTTCCTATCCCACTCCCTCCATCCTCCACATCTCATCCCTCTCCTCACCACCGCCGTTTGCAGTTTCGGCCTCCTCGCCCGCATCCTCATCCTCGTCCTCCCGTGTCTGTTATCAGTCATCACATCTCCTCATCCCCCCTCTTTCGCTTGCCCCTCGCCCTCCGCCAGCCCCATCGCCCTCCCATCCCCTCTCCCCCTCACTTCCTCACGCACGTTTCTGCCCCCGCCTCCTGCTTGTCCTCTCTCCTCCTTTTCTCCGCAGCCTGTTTGGCCCAGGCTGCCGCCTCCTCCTCCTCCTCCTCCTCCTCCTCCTCCTCCGCCTCCTCCTCTGTCCGCCCGGCCCGTTGCCTGCACGCCCTCCTCCAGACAGGCGGCGCATGCCTCCGCGCCCGTCCTTTGACGTCCCCGCTGACGTCCCCGGCGCGCTGCCCACGCTCCTGGAGCAGCGCGGCGACCCCGCGCACGCAGAGGAGGCCCCGCCGAAGACGCTGGAGGCGCCCTGCGGTTGCGCCGCGAGCGGTGCGGACGCCGCGCTGGAGGAGGGGGCCGCGGCGGCCGGGGGCGAGGCCGCGGCGAGGGAGCTCGTGCACGCCGAGCTGGCCGCGTCACCGCTGTTCGCGCAGTGCGAGCCGGAGGTCGTGCGGGGCATCGTGCGCGGCGCCCGCGGCATTAGGCTGGGGCACGGCGACGAGCTCGACGTATCGGCCAGCGGGCGCGCGTGGGTGGTCGTCGCGGGTGCTCTGGAGGCGCGCGTGGGCCCGGGGCGCGCGGCGCTGCTCGGCCCCCGGACGATGTTGAACGTCTGCGGTCTGCTGGGCAGCCCGCCCGAGGGCGGGCGGGAGCGAGCGGAGTGCGAGCAGTGGTACAGGCCTGCCGCGCCGAGCGATGAGGCGGACAAGGAGGCGCTGGCGGTGGAGGCGGGCTGCGTCCGCACCCTGTGCTCACAGGCGTTCGCCGTTGCTGGCTCGAGGGGCGCTGGGCAGAAGGCCCCGGACACGCTGAGTCTCACCGTCGTGGGCGCCCCGCCGCGGCGGGCGGAGGGCGAAGCCGACGACGCGCTGGGGCCAGCCCAGCAGGAGCCCCACTCTCCCGCGCGGCATGAGGCTGGCGGCGCCTGGCTTGCGGCCATGACGGTGGGAGATGTCCTGAAGGTCGTGGCCGGGTCCTCGTCGCAGGCGCAGTTCACTGCCAACAGGGAGTCTCTGCTGGAGAGGTGGTCTGTGGCTCTCCGGCGACGGGTTTTCCCTGGGGCCCCGCCGGACGCGTTGTTCTCGTTGGTGGAGTCTGCGCAGGTGCACCACGTGAGCCCAGGGGACAAGCTCGCGACCGAGGGCGAGTCTGGCGACGCAGCCGAAGCCCTCCTGGTGTTGGACTCGGGAGAGGCCGCGGTCGAGAAGTGCGTGCCGTGCAGAGACGGCCAGGGCACCAGGGTGACTGTCATGGGCTTCCTGGGGCCTGGTGCCATCGTCGGGGACGCTTGCTTCATCGGCTCAGGCATGCCCCGACCGGCCACGGTTCGCGCCAAGACGGCGGTCACCGTACTCATCATCCCCAGCGATGCCATCCTCGAGGCGCTGCGGCGGTTCCCGGGTTGCCTGGCCTGCCTGCACGCAGGGGTTCGCGAGGGCGCCGCGCTGCTGCAGCCGAGCTTGCAGTCTCACACGGAGGTGCTTTTGATGCAGAGGCTCTTCGGATGGTCTTGTCTGCCCTTTGTCCGCGCGGTCGCGAGCGCCTCCGAGCGGCGAGTGCTGTACTGCGGGGAGGCGGTCAAGCAGGAGGGCGGCAGCGACGCCGCGTTATACGTCGTCGAGTTCGGGATCTGCAGCGTCTCCCGCGAGGGGTGCGGCGACGTGGGCATGGCCCGCATGGGCACCTGCTTCGGAGAGCGCGAGCTCATAGGCATTCACTCGGTGAACCGCTCGACCGTGCGTGTCTCCACGCCCTTCGCCGTTCTGTTGATGGTTCTCGAAGAGGGATAATCGGCACAAACATCGATTTTCGGAGCTCCGCTCGGATTTCCTGGATCGGAGCTGGGCCCCCTGGCTGCGCCTCTGGCGCCGCCCCTGGAGCGCTCCGCGCGCCAGGGAGAGGGTCCAGCGCAGAGCCAAGAAGTCTGCGCAGACCGTCGAAAGTTTATGTTTATTCGGGCATCGACGGAACGCCCCCCCAGACAAGCCGACTGAGGAAATCTGCACCGCTTCACTCGACATTGGCATTCGAGTGTGCCGGTGCAGTCCCGAGTCGGTCTCGCCTCTCGATGTGCGTGTCGCTGGATACATTCGGTTGATGATGGACTTTATGGACGTCGATGAGCTGCACCGCGGGGGTGCACTCGGAATGCGGTGCCGTGCTTACGTGGGGTCCCCCATGGCTGCTTTCACTACAGGGTGTTTTGCTGAAGGAGTTTCTGTCCACCCCCGCTTTCTGCAGCCTCTGTCTTCCTCCAGGTTCCGCAGACGGCGTTCGGCGCCGTGCTGTCGCGCTTCCCAGACGAGGAGAGGCGCGTGCGCGGCTCCACGCTGCTGCCCTCGCAGCGGGGCCGGGGCTCCGACGTGGCGAGCTTCCCCTGCTTCCGCACCTGCAGCCAGAACTTCTGCGAGGACCTCGCGCGCTCCGTCGAGATCAGGCGCACGCCCTCCTCTCCCAGGCCTCCCAATTGGGGTCCGAGTACAGTCAAGACGCTGAAGTTGGAATCGCTTTGGGTCCAGAATGGGCTCGCTGTTCCTTGGGTCATTCCGTGGTTGCTCATCTAGCCCTCCTCGTGCACGCAGGCGCTTTTGGGGCCCAAAAGGGGGTTCGTTCCTTATTTACGATGCGGCTCGATGCGGAGCTTGATTTTCTCCACGCCAGAGGCGCCGATGCATTGCCGATGTATCGGCGATGCATCGGCGAGGCGGCGCGACCCTCCGGCTCCATCGGCTCGGGCACCACCTGGGAGCCCTCTATCTCATGGGCTTGGCATCGCTCGGACGCGTGCATTTTTTCTCGGAGAGGACCATCGAGAACCATCCTGAACCATCGAGCAACAAGAACACACGCACCCGAAAAATGCACGGGAAACGGACGTCCGAGCGACGGCAAGTGGGGGGGTGCGACGAGGAGGGCAGGTGATGCAGGAGGAGCAGCAGCAAGAGAACACTTACAGTTGGATTTCAAGCTGGCCAGCTCGACCGACTCGGCGGAGCCAGCGCCGCCCACCCCCATTCTCCCTCCCGCAACCGATGGATCAGTTTTGGCAAAGCTGGAAGTTGAGACTGTCGCGTGCTCCCCGAACGGAAGGCGCCCGCGCGGGCGCTTGTGGGAATGCAACCCCGGGGGATCTAATACAGTCCACCCGCGTAGGAAGGATGGGCAACCTTCCCAAGGTACCCTTGCATCCTTGCCTCCTCGGTCCATCCTTCGCCACGTTCGTTGGCCGCGCCCCGCTCGAAAAGCTTCGAAATGGGCGTCCAAGGCCCCTGCATCCTTATCGCGCATCCTTGTGATACGGACCGACTGCAACATGTGCAGCGCAAGCAGCATTCCGCTCGCCGGCGCGCGGCCCAGCTTCCAGCAGGACTGGCGATCAACAAAGAATGCGCCGCGCCCGGGCGGGAATGGCAATTTGAGGAACGACGGCGACTCAGCGCCGCCCCCCTGCCTTGTTGTGGCAAGAGCTCTGCCAAGCTATCGGGCCATTTGGTCCCACAGCCGTTGTGGAAACCTTTCGGGGAACACTTGGGGGAGGATGGCGGGGCAGATCAGGAGGAGGCGGAGGAGGAGGAAGAAGAAGAGGAGGAGGAGGAGGGGGCATCTTGGGAGCCTCTGGGGGGACTCTCGGGGCATCCTAGGAGTTTCCCGGGAGCCTCTTGGAGGCATCTTGGGGGCCTCTTTGGGCCTATTGGGGGCCTTTGGGGGATTCTCGGGGGCCTCTTTGGCAGTCTGAGAGCAGTCCTGGCCCGTCTGACGCCGTCGGGAGCCGTCTTCGGGGCCTCTCTGGGCCGGCTTGGGGCTGTCTTGGGGTGCTCCAGGGCCGCCTTCGATGCCATCTTGGGCGTCTTGGAGGCCTGTTGGGCCGTCTTGGGGCCGTCTTGGGGGCCTCGTGGGCCTTTCTGGGACCATTTTGGAGGCCTCATGGGCGATCTTTGGGCGATCTTTGGGGGCTCTTGGGCAGTCTCGAACTCCGAAGGCAGAAAAGAAGAAAACGGCAAAATCCTGCAAAAGCTTAAGGAACATCAATGAATTTGGCCCCTTCGGGCCTTCCTGGAGGCCCTCTTGGAGGCCGCCTGGAGGCCTCCTGGGCCGTCCTGGAGCTTTGGAAAACAGAAGACAGCAATCAATGACGTTTACCTCTTGGGGCCGTCTTGGGATGCCTCTTGGAGGCGTCTTGGGGTGTCTTGGCGGCCTCTTGTGCCGTCCTGGGGCTATATTGCGCGTCTTGGCGCGGTCGTTGGGCGTCTCGAGCCCCGTGTGGACCATCTTGGGGGCCTTTTGGGGCTCTCTTGGCCCGTCATGGGGGCCTGTTGGGCCCCGAAAAGTCATACGACAAGATGCGCCAGACCCCAGGAGACCCGCGGGGAACGCCGAGAGATTTGGCAATTTGGGGTCCAGGCCCCTTCAGGACTAGTTAGGAGTGACCAAGGGATTGTGCTCAGGACCTGAGGACACTTCCACTCCGTGCCCAGCGGCACGGTGGCGGAGAAAGGACTGGTTGCCAGCGTGGATCCGAAACATTGAACTACTTGGGGCTGTACGTGTATGTGTATATATATGTATATATACATGTATATGCATATGTATGTATTATGTTGTGTTGGCCAGCGTCATCCCCCAAAAGTGTGTTTCTAGCTATGCATGGCTACAATATGTGTGGAGCGGTCCATGGTGTGCCATGTATGTGCTGCGCCCTATGTTGTACATTCACTGCTGTACAAGAGCTGCTGTGAAATATATGTGGTGTGCCACTAATGCGGTGCAGTCGGCGTTCTACGCTCTGTGTGGTGCAATACATGTTGTACTATATGTGTTGTGCAATCATACGTGGTGTGTTGCAACCGATGTGATGCAACATGTGTTGTGCAGCCTATGTGGTACAATGTATATATATAGATATATCTATATGTATGTACCGTGGTATGTGGTGCAACATAGATTGTGCACTCTACGTGGTGCAGCGGACGTTATACAAACCATGTGGTGCAATGGATGCGGTGCAGTAAGCTATGTGGTGCTACATCTATGTGTGAATTTATACATATGTTGTGCTATATCAGCGACGAGGCGGCGACGGGGCGGCGACAACGACAACACAGCCGCCAGACCGCTACACCAGCCTAGTTCTTCAGAGGATATGTGATAACCCCTCATTGCAAACACTGGTTGGGGAACACAAGGAAATCTACATATAGGTATGTACATCTTCCGATTCCTATATTCTTATTACCCCAAAACCGACCCCCCCCCCCCAGGGACGCCCCATACGCCCTTTCGGAAGTCTCGGCGGCCCCCTGGACGCCGTTGTAAAAGGTCCGCTGGCCCTTTCGGGCCTCCCAGGGCGCCGTGCCGGGCCTTGCGAGCAGACTCAAGGCGATCAGAGGGGTCATCGGAGAGGCGCAAGAGAGAACCTTGATTGTCTGAAGACGGCCCAAGGGGCCCCCAAAGACGCCCCAAGAGGCCGTTAAGAGAGCCCCGAAGAAACAAAACTCGTCCCACCACCTCAGGAGAATGTATATTGTTAACGTATATGGTATTTTGGTCTTCGCAGCGTCCAAGATGGCCCGATGGGCCCCCGATATCGCCCCAAGACGGCCCAATAGGCCTCCCAGAGGGTTTGAAGACGGCCCAAGTTGGCCCCAAGACTGCCCCAGAGAGCCCCGAGACTGGCCACAAGAAGCCCCAGATGCCCACACAAGGCTCTCAAAAGAGACCTTCGAAAGCCATGGGAGACCCCCAAGAAGGCCACTGGAGGCCCCCAAGAGGGCCCTAGATGGCTTCAGAAGACCTCTGGAGGGTCCCAACTCCCCAAGACTGCCCACGAAGGCCCCATGACGGCCCAAGAGGGCCCCGGGACGGCCCAAAAGATCCCCCGAAACGCCCAGACGGCGTTTTCCTACGAAGTGCACCGAGCTGACCCGACGATCTTTGTTCCCCGCTTGATGCTCGAGGTTTAACTTCCTCGATCGAGAGAGAGAGAGAGAGGGAGAGCCAGGCACTGGATCTAGATTGGAAGTTCGACGATCGAAGATTTCCTGAGTGCCTGGAGCCCTCCAGGCATGCAGGAAGCGACCAAAAAACGATTTGTTCGGAGCTACTACGACTTCTTCGGCGTGTCATGGGAACGCTTTTTACTTGCTCAAAGGACCTTCGCGCGTGAAACATCTGCATTCCTTCCCCGCTCCTGCGCACAAGCGTGCAAGCGCATCGGGCGAACGCGGTGTCAGCAGGCACCAGGGATATCAGAAAAATGAGCCGGTCGCCCGTCCAGGCCTCGAGGTCACCGCTGCTGAAGCAAACGATGATGCATTGTTTTGCCGTGGAAGCGCCCGGAACAAGACTGCATTGTCGCGAAGCGCCAATGCAGTTTTGTATGTATGTGTATATATATACATACACTATGTGTGTCGGCAGATAGAGTCCAATCTATGTGATGCAAGACATGCGGTGCAAGTTATGCGGTGTACGCCATGCGATGCAAACTATGTGGTGCCAGCTAGATGGCGCAAACTATGCCACGCAAGCTGAAGGGCAAGCGATGTGGTATAAACTATGTGGTGCACGCTGTGAGGTCTGAGCTGTTGTTGACAGCCATGTGATAAACCTGCGAAGAACAAACTGTGTATTGCAAGATATGTGGCGCTTGAAATCATGTATCGGCGATGTTGTGCAAGCTATGCGGCCGCCCACGACGCGCCCACGAGGCGCCCGTGGACAGCCGCGGGCTTGCATCAGGCGCGACCATGGCAGACCCGCCTAGCGCACGATGCGCTTACGATGCGCCCACAAACGGCAGCGGGCGGGCGCCAGGCGAAAGCTCGGCGCCCCCATCGAAGGGCACAGCGCGCCCGCGAGGCGCCCACGACCACCCACCCACCAACTGGGCACCAGGCAAAACCCCGACACCCGCCCAACGATTTAAGAATGCAAGTAAGAACCCCTAGGCCAAGAACGGTTTGGGGAATACAGACATGAAGAAGAGCGAACCGGAGGAGCAGAGAAGCGGCATGTAGGAGCAGGAGGAGAACACGAGGAGGAATAGCAGGAAGATGACCAGGACTAGGGCGAGGGATGAGATAAGAAGTACGGGTAGAGGGAAGGACAGGTACTACTGCCCGGGCCAAACGGTGATGGTGGAGGGCGCGATGGACGCAGCGCACATGTCGGTGCTGAAGGGCGGGCGCGCGGTGGTAGAGAAGCGAGGCAAGAAGGTCGCGGACGTTGCCATCGGGACGAACTTCGGCGAGTTCGCCATGATGGGCATAGCGCGGCGGCGGGGCGCCACGGTGCGGGCAGTGACGCTGTGCCAGATGCTGGAGGTACCGCGCGCGGCGTTCCTGGCCGCGTTGGACCGGAACCCGGAGGACCGCCAGCACTTCGAGAAACTCACCACGCAGTACAGCGCCGCGGAGACTGGCGTGCGCTGGCCCCTCTTCGTGGACACCCCAGCCAACCTGTTGTACCACGTGAACCTGTACACGGACTCATGGGCGAAACACATGTCCGTATCCGCGGCGTCGCTGGCCGGGCCCCCGGCCGCGACCCCACGGACTCGGCGCGTTTTTTTTTCGCGGATGCCTTGCGCGCAGCGTGTCTGTGCGACCGCGTACCCGCGGGGTCGCGCCCCAGAAGTCCAGACCGCGAGGGCGCGGATACGGATCCGTTCGCCGCTCGTTACAGGCCTCGGGCAGCGCCACGGGCGACCACCCTCAGAGGGGGTCACCAGCTCCTCCTGGGAAAGATCGGGGTTCCAGGGTCGAGGCTCGAGGATGATTCTGAACGTTCTGGGGCCGTTTTGGAGAACGCTCTGGGGTGCTCTTGGAGGCGCATTTCCTCTGGGAAATTGCGATTCCTCAAGGTTGTGGCGGCCCCCCTGGTAGTGACTCCCCTTCTTGAGCTGACAGCTAAGCCCTCATACCTTTGCGCACCCCCAGATGTCTCGGGGTGGGATTCGAGGGGGGTCTGAGGGTGAGTGTCGTGAGATGGGGATCTCCGTTCGAACGGGGACCTCCCCTCGGGGTCCCCCAGCTCGCACCCATACTTGTAGCGCCTTCCATCGCCTTGCCCTTCCCCATTCCTCCTCCCTGTAGGTTTGAGTGCGTGAGTGTGTGATCCTCTTTGACCACCCCTGGCATTGCCCCAGGACCGGTACCTGACCCCGGCGGGGTCCTGGACCTCGCGCGCTTCGGGCGCGCAGCTGCCAGAGGACGCGGCGGTGCTGGTGCTGCAGGGCTCCATCCTGGTGGAGGGCCCCGGGGACGAGGTCCTCGAGTTCGTCGACGGGCAGTGCTTCAACGAGCAGGTCCTCGTCGGTTTCCCGCGCTCGGGCAGGCTGGTGGCCAAAGAGGCCTCCGAGGTGCAGATCATGACGAGAGAAACGTTCGAGAAGGTCATGGCCGCGCATCCGGACCAGCGCACCGCGGCGGAGCGCAACATCCTGCAGGAGATGGCCTGCAAGGCGGTGAAGAGGCTGGGCTTCTCGCACGGCAGCGTCGGCATCCTGCGCTTCTCTTCCCTCTTCCGGGCCGTGTCGGACCAGTTTGCTTTGCTGGTCAGCCAAAGGCTCGAGGAGCGCATCTGCCAGCCCAGGGATGGAGCGGAGGAGGAAGAGGACGGGTGAGGAGGAGGAGGAGGAGGAGGAGGAGGAGGAGGACCGGGGAAGGGGGGCGAGGAGGACCCGAGGGGGAGGAGGAGAAAGAGGAGGAGAGCGTGGAGGGGCAGGAGGAGAAGCAGCAGCGGCAGCAGGGTGAGGGGGAGGAGCGCATCTACCAGCCTGGGGAGCTCATCACGGAGGAGGGCGCGGAGGGCGACACGATGTACCTCCTGCTGGTTGGGGACGTGCAGGTCGAGGCTCGGAGGGGCAATAGGCTGACCCTGTGCCCCCCCCCGTTGAGTACGTGGCAGATCCCCAGGCAGGGTCAGCAGAGGGAGGGTCGAAAGGAAAGGCGGTGGTTGTTGCGACTTGGCACGGTGGTCCCCGTATCACAACTCACTCCTCCTCTCCTCCTCCGCCTCCTCCTGCTCCTCATCTTCCTCCTCATCCTCACTTTCATTATCCTCCCATCTCCCCTCCTACTCCTCCTCCCCTCCATCATGTTTCCCATCCTCGTCATCTGCGATTTCTCCCTTCCCTTCTCACTCCTCCTACTTTGCCCCTCCTTCTCCCGCTCCTCTTCCTCCGCCTCCACCACCACCTCCGCCTCATCACCCCTTCGCACCTCTTCCCTCCCTTCTCCTCCACATCACCCCCGCTCACGCCCACGCTGATGACAGTAGAGTCCCCCCTCCCACTCCTCTCTTCCTCCCTGACGTCCTCCTCTCCAGTTTCCCCCATTCCTTCTCCTCCCCTGCGCCGCCGTCGTCGTCGTCGTCGTCGTCGTCGTTGCCGTCGTCGAAGGTCCCCAGAGGTCCCTGGAGGCCCCCGGAGCTCCCCTGAGATCTCTAGAGGCTTCCGCAGGGCCAAAAAGAATCCAAACAACGCCCAAGGAGCTTTCCAGTAGGCACGTCAAACAAGAAGTTGGCCTGCCAGCAGGTGCCGCAAGGAAGGCTCTTTTCCCACAACGGCCCTGGGGGCCCACGGAAGCTTTGGGACATGTCGGGAAGCTCAAATCTCGACGAAGAATGTGCCCCCAGAGTTCTTGCAGGAAGGCTTCTGATCGTACATGGGTGTCTCCATGGTGGCCTCGGATTCAGAGAGGGAGGGATCCCCCCGTCCTCTCTCAAGGGGGGGACTTTCTCTCTCGGCGGCGAAAGAAGTACCATTCGCCCCGCATGCCTGCCATGAAACGCGCGTGCTTCTCGGCAGAGGCGCGGGGCCGGCGATCCCGAGCCGCTCGGAACTGCATCACTCCTGGTCAGGGCTGGACCCCAACGGTGTCTTGGGGTGACTTCGTGGGCCGTTTTCGTTTCGACTTCGGTCTGCGGTACAGGCGGATCAGAGAAAGTCGAGGGAAAACGAAAACGGAAAAACACCGTTTAGGTTCAGCCTTCTGCTCTCGGTCCCCGAGGTGGCCGATCCACTCGGACTCCCACTGCCGGGCCCTCCTCCGCTCTGCCCCTCCCTCCGTCGGGCGCCCCCGACCACCTCGGGCGCCCGTGCGGCTGCCCCTGCCGTGCCGCAACGAAGAAGTGTTCTGCCGCTGTGCCGGCTGAGACGTGGCAGCACGGGGGGGGGGGGGGGCAGGCCGTGGTGTCTCTCATGCCGGAAACGGGAACACATACATGGACCAATGGCGGGCTGTGTTTTGCATCCCAGGACTTTCTGAGGGTCGGGGACGACGCCGGGGTGGTGTGGTGTATGCTTGTTCCTCGACGTCCCGGGGAAACAATGAAGAATGTATGCACCAGGGTCCCGTATACACCAGGATCCGCTATCCAGTGCAAATTTCAGTGCAGGGCCAGAAACAGCGTCGGCATATAGAATTCGATTCCTTCTCATGGGGGAGAAAGCTTGGACTCACAATGCTGGGTCCTCGTCTGCGTCGTCGTCGTCGCCATCGCTCGCAAGGCCTCCGATGGCCTGTCCAGCGCGCACGACGGCCAGCGCCAGGCCTTCGGTGAGGCGGTGCTCCTCGGGATCGCCTCCGCCTACGGGAAGACGCTGCGCGCGCGGAGCAGCTGCCTCGTGCAGGCCCAGCCCTGGCCCTCCCCGCGTCTCTCTCGCAGACCCTCCCTGGGCAGGTCAGACAGCACATCCCTAAGCCGAGTCTCGGTGCGGATCGTCTGCGCGCCTCGTCTCCGCCGTCGTCGTCGTCGTCGTCGTCGTCGTCGTCGTCGTCGTCGTCGTCGTCGTCGTCGTTGTCGTTGTTGTGATGGTCGTGGCGCGCGTTGCTCTGCTCGAGACTTGCTGTTTCCCTCCCGCAGCGGCCACCACCACCATCCCTGGGTAGAAAGCGGCGGGGGGAAGGCCCAGACCCCCTCGCGTCGTGATGGAAAAAACACGACCCGGGGGGGATTGTTTTCGCCGGCCACGCGCAGGGGGTGGTAGGGAAAGGGGGGAAGGCTTCTTAGAAGCACCCCTGCCTCGTAGAAAGTGCGGGCCTTATCTGTAGATGCAAGGCCCGCGCCTTCTGGGAAGCAGCCTCCTTCCACGAAGCCTTCCCCCCTCCCCCTCCCCCCGCTGTGCGCGCCGCCGACTTCGGCCTCTGGGGGCCCTCGCTCGGCCACAGGACCGTCAAGACATACTCGGGATGGAAAAACCGGTCCCCGGGGAGTGGGTCGAGACTTCCGAGGGTCGACGTCGCGTGAACAATCACGACCTCGGGGGCCTCGGGGGGGGGAGGCGTCAATTGACCACCTCGCCACGCCAGGATGGGCCCAGCCAGGATCGGTTGGGCGGTCAGTCGGGGCCCCTCCTTCTCGTTCTGTTCTCCCCCCCCCCTCCTCGCCCTCGCCCTGGTCCGCCCGCTCCTCCTCCTCCTCCTCCTCCTCCTCCTCCTCCTCCTCCTCCTCCTCCTCCTCCTCCTCCTCCTCCTCCCCCCTCCTCCTCCTCCTCCTCTCTCCTCCTCCTCCTCCTCCTCCTCCTCCTCGTGTTCCTCCTCCTCCTCCTGCTCCTCCCCCCTCCCTCCTCCTCCTCCTGCTCGCCTCCTCCTCCTGCTCCTCCTCCTCCTGCTCCTCCCTCCTCCTCCTCCTCCTCCTCCTCCTCCTCCTCCTCCTCCGCCTCCGCCTCCTCCTCCTCCTCCTCCCCTCCTCCTCCCCCTCCTCCTCCTGCTCCTCCTCCTCCTCCTCCTCCTCCTCCTCCTCCTCCTCCTCCTCCAAGCCGCGCTGGCCCAAGTGGGGCGTGCGGCAGCGCGATTCAGAGCGGCGCAGCTGCTGCGAGCCATGGCAGTGGCCTGATGCCTCCGCGTCTTCGGATCTTCATAGGGGAGAGCTTCTTTGGCGCGGATTCCGGGAGCCTGTTCGGGGACTTCTTGAGAGCCTCGAAGGTCGACATCGACAATGCCGAGGTCGAGGTCGTCGTCTTCCAGGCCTACCAGACCCTGGGCCCAAAAGGCGGGAGTGCAGCCGAGGCAGAGGTCCAAGCAGAGTGTGCAGGAGGGCAAGCCTGCGGACCTCTTGAGATCGCCGCCGAGGCGAGTGAAGGTGGGGAGTTAGTAGCTGCCGAAGCCCCCACCGCCAGTGATAAAGAAGATCCCGTGGCGCCATGCGGAGTCGTCCGCGTCGGCTGCGGGGAAGGTGCAGGCTCGGGGGAAGAGGAAGAAAAAAAGCAGACGAACAAGGACCAGACCAAGCGGAGCCCTTCGCGAACCTCAAGGGCCATATCGACATGACCCAGGAGTAGAAGCTGAAGGGCTGCAACCTCCCAAAGTGGAAGTGCGAGGGCTGCGCCAAGGAGCTAAAGAGGAAGGTGGTGCTCTTTGGCTTCAGGATGCGGTGCCCGTCCTGCCGCATGCCGCCGCCGTCTACCACAAGGAGGACGCAGGAGGAGGCCATCCGCAAGTACAACAGGAAGGAGTTCGATCGCCAGAGTGCTCCCAGGAAGCAGCTGGCGTGGGCTCAGGCTGCGAGTTCTTCGACATCGGCGCCGGCGCCGAAAACGAGAGCACGCAAGACCACGATTCTCTACAAGGTCCAGAAGAAGAGCGGGTTGAAGAGGAAGATGGCCGCGGAGATGGAGCGCAGCGTGAGGCGACAGGCAAAGGAGGAGAACACGCTGGAGGACATCGACGCGCGCATCCTCAAGATGGAGACGGACAGGGACAATCTGGTGGAGCTGATCGTCTCTCTCCTGCCCTCCCGCCAGCGGGGCTCGGAGGAGGCGCAGACCAGGGTGAACGCGCTCATCTAGCAATCCGAGCAGGCGAAGATCAGCGCGGAGACGGACCTGGTGCGCCTGAAGCGCCTGAGGGAGCTGGTGTTGGCCAAGTAGACTTCGGGCGCGGCTGCGCCAAGGCCTTCTCAGAGGAGCTGTCCGCCATCCCCGCCTTCCCGTCCCTCGGAGCAGCGGTGGATGACATAGAGATCTCGTTGGAGGACTACCTGGGGGGCAAAAAGCTCAGTGACCAGCTCGCGGCAGCCGTCTCTCCCGAGGGCAAGGCCGCGGCGCTGCAGACGATCAAGGACTTCATGTTCAGGGGCGCGCTCGCCCAGGCGCCCCAATAGTGGGGCGCCGTGGCGGGCGGCTCGCAAAGCGACGCTGAGCTGGCATCGGCCCGCGCGCGGCGCTCTCTGGCTCTGGGGTGCTAGGCATAGGTCTGGCGCCCTCCAGTGGCTTGGCATAGGCTGGGCCACTGGCGGTTTTGATTGCTGGGCATAGGCTCGGCGCCTGCCCTGCGCGGCGGGGGCGTCCTAGACGGACGCCCGCTTCATCAGGCCCTACACACCCCTCCTGCTCCTCCAACTCCTCCTCCTCATCCTTCTCCGCCTCCGCCTCCTCCTCCTCCCCCTCCTCCTCCTGCTCCTCCTTTTCCTCCTCCTCCTCCTCCTCACCCTTCTCCCCCTCCTCCTCCTACGCCTCATCCTCCTCCACCTCCTTCTGCTCCTCCTCCTCCTCTCCTCCTCCTCATCCTGCTCCTTCCTCCTCCTCCTCCTCCTCCTCCTCTTCCTCTTCCTCCTCCTCTCTCCTTGTGTTCGTCCTCCCCCTCCGCCACCGTAGGCCGTCTCTCCTTCCTCCCTCCTCCTCCTCATCCTCCTCCCCCTCCTCCTCCTTCTCCTCCTCATCATCATCATCATCAACACCATCATCATCATCATCATCATCATCATCATCATCATCATCATCATCATCATCATCATCATCATCATCATCATCATCATCATCATCATCATCATCATCATTGCGCTTGCGTTATCCTCCTCCTCCTCCGCCTCCTCCTCCCCCTCCTCCTTCTTGTGCTCTGCTCGGCCTTCCACCTCCGCCTCCTCATCACCTTCCTCTTCTCCTCTTCATCGTGTTTGTCCTGCTTCTCCTCCCAGGCCCTCCCCCGCGGGAGCCTGGACGAGGTGTTGGACAGCTTCCCCAGGGAGCGGGCGCTCTTCGCAGGCCTGCGCGTCCAGGACAGCCCGCGGGGGGCCCTGGCCTAGAGAGGGGGGCGGAACGCCGAACTGAGGGACTTGGCATCGCTCGGACGTGTGTATTTTTTCTCGGCGAGAACCTTCGAGGACCATCCTGTACAATGGAGCATTCAAAACACGCACGAAACCGACAAATGCACGAGAAATGGACGTCCGAGCGACGGCAAGGGGAGGGCCGAACAGGGGGGCGACATAAAACGGAGAGGGCAGAAAATCGCCGATTTGCCACCCGACCGGGAAGGGACTCCTGTCTGCTGCAGCAGGCCTGGGAGGAGGAGGATAACGACGACGACGAGGTGGAGGAGGAGGCTGCGCATGCCCGTCGGCGGTTGGCGGCGAGACAACGGCTACAAAGCGCTGACTACCCAACATGCTCACAGAGAGGAGGGAGGAGGAGGAGAAAGAGAAAGAGGAGGAGGAGGAGGAGGAGGAGGAGGAGCAGGAGCACGGGGAGGAGGAGGAGGAGGAGGAGGAGGAGGAGGAGGAGGAGGAATGGATAGGTGAAGACCGAACAGAGGGAGGACCGAACAGAGATAGGACCCGACAGGGCCCGACCGCACAATTGGGACCGAATAGGGGGAACCCCAAAGAGGCAAAGCGGAGGACCGAACAGGGGGACGGCCACGCAGAAGGAGGGCCGACAAGGGGAGGAAGGCGCCCCCCCCCCAGCCCTCTGCTTCCTGGTCAAGCTATGGCGCTCAAGCCTGACGACGACGGCCCGTCAAAACAGTTTTTGTCAGTAGTTATCGGGCTGACGGTTCGTCCCATGCGGGCCTTTCTGAGCCAAATTGGTTTTTGCCGATGCGCATGCAAATTGGTACGCAGGCATTCTCCGTCCTAGACCCTCCCTCGAGCCTTCCCCTCTGGCACTTGCAATCCTCCATGATCCGTCCTCATCCTCCTTCCCGTCCTGCCCCTTCTCCCCATCCTGATCGACTTCGTCCTCCACCCCCCTCGCTCCTCCTCGTGCTCCTCGTCTCCCCTCTCCCCTCCAGCTCCTCCCCCCTCTTCCACCCACGCCCTGCCAATCCAGCAGGTGGTCATGATGGTGGTTGCACGATTCGCTCCCGCCCCACCCCCCCGGGGCACCCGACCCCCCGACGTCAGTATTTGTTTCACATGAGGCGTTGCAGAAAGGGCCCCGCCTTCGAGAGTCGAAGAAGTTGGCATCTCTTCCTCGGCGGAAGGTCGGTGGAAGGCGGCGGAGGAAGCAAAACGAGGCCACCTCCACGGGCGGAAGCTAGCAGAAGGAACAACGAATCGGCCTCCCACGAGATGGCAAGGTGTTTTGGTCCAGGGTAAACCCGCCACATCGTTGACCCTGGGAGGTCTCGACTCGTTTCCTTGGACCGACTTTTCCTCCTGAGTAGTTGTTGACGGTCCCGAGGCAGAACATGTCCGCCGTGATTCGTTCATGATCCGAAGGCCGTCTGTGTACGCGGCCTCGCCCGTTTCCCGCTCCGCCTGCTCCCGCCGCAACTTCCCCCCCCCCCGAGGGCTGCGAGGGCAGCGTGGACTCCTGCCTGGCGCGCGCCGCCTCGTTCTCGCGCATGGAGCCCGAGTTCGTGTCCACCCCCCCGTGGTCGCCCGCTGCCCTCGGGGGCCATCCACTGGGGGGTCTGGGGGGGTCCAGCATCAGACGCAGGGGCCCAGCTCCCTCCTCAAGAGGAGGAGGAGGAGGAGGAGGAGGAGGAGGAGGAGGAGGAGGAGGAGGAGGAGGGGGAGGGGGAGGAGGACGAGGAGGAAGAGGAGGAGGGCGAGGAGGAGGAGGAGGAGGAGGAGGACGACGAGCACGAGCATGAGCACGAGCACGGGCACGAGGACGAGGACGAGGACGAGGACGAGGACGAGGACGAGGAAGGGGAGGATAGGATGAGGTAGGGCCGAGGAGGATGGGGGGAGGCTACTCCTGTGCCGCCCCCCAGTGATGGCCCTCGGGGCAGCCTGCGACCATTGGGCCCATGCTCAGCCGGCAGTACGAGGACGTCTTCTACGCCCCCGGAGAGGAGATCCTCACGAGGCCCCCCCCCCCGGGGCGGGCCCTGACTTCCAGGCATGGTGGCGGAAGTTTCCAGATTACCGGCCTCCGGAGGCCAGGTTTTTTGCGGCCCCTTGACATAGAAAAAAGCGCTCCGAGATGAAGAACAAGCTGAAAATCTGGAACAGCTTGACGGATGGAGGGCGAATGGTTTCAACATGTTGTTATTGTTTCAGCGCCGCGCACGTTCGTCTTAGAAGTTTGCAAGCGTTTCATTGGTGCAGGGCGGTTCTTTTCAAAATGCGGCTCTCGCCTCAGCGCCGCGCACGTTCGATTCAAAAATTTGCAAACGGTTCACGGATAGAGGGCTGCTCCATTTCATCAGGATGTGGTTTCGCCTTACCGCCGCGCACATTCGTCTTCAAAGCTTGCAAAGTTCCCACGAATCGAAGGCGATGCCTTTTGATCGAACTACGGCTCTAACATTAGCACCGCGCATATGCGTCTCAAAGTTTGCAAGAGCTTCACGCAAAGAGGGCGGCTGCTTTTCAACATGTGGATCTCGCGTTGGCGCCGCCCACGTTCGTTTTTAAAAGCCTACGAACGGTTCACGGGTGTAGGGCGGTTCTTTCCGTTAGAATGCGGTTCTCTCTGCAGCGCCGCGCAGCGTCCCAAAGTTCGCAGCAGGAGCTTCACGCATGGAGGTAGCGTCGTTTTCAACATGTGTTTCTCGTCTAAGCACCCCGCGCACTTGACTTGAACTATTGCGCATGGTTTACGGATGGGTGGCGGTTCCTTTTCACTGCAAATTCGTTGTTTAGTTTGCGAGAGTTCGGATGAAGGGCGGGTCGTTTTGTCCTCGCCCTTCTCCTCCTCCTCGTCCTCGTCCTCCTCCTCCTCCTCCTCCTCCTCCTCCTCCTCCTCCTCCTCCTCCTCCTCCTCCTCTGCTTCGACCTCCGGGGGCCTCCGCCGCGGGCGCCCAGAGAGCTCGCTGCCCGCAGCCCCAGGGACCGGCCTTCCCTCGCGGGTCGCTGCCGGGCTTCAGGGGCAGCGATAAAGGTGGATAGGCAGAGGCGGGGATGCATCGACCCCCAATCGCCCATTGATCGCCGATAGGGGTCTGATAGCACCAACCCGCCCAGGGAGGTGCGGATTGACTATGGGGGGCCTATCGCCGATCTATCGGCGATGTGTCGCCGATTCCAGGTCGATGCATCCCCCCTATGCCAGTCCCCCCCTATCGTTGCCCCTCAGGGCTCCAGGCGGCCGAATGTCCTCGAAGTGGCCCCCAGAGGCTCAGAAAGAAGTCAAGCAGAAGGAGCGATACAGGTAACCCGCATAGTAAGGATGGGCAACCTTCTCAAGGGTACCCTTGCATCCTTGCCTCCTCGGTTCATCCTTGGCCGCTTTCGTTGGCCGCGCTCCGCTCGAAGAGCTTCGAAGTGGGCGTCCGAGGCTCTTGCATCCTTACCGCGCACCCTTACGATATGGGTCGACTGTAGTCGTCGTTTTCTTAATTGTTTTGCCGATCGGCGCGGGCCCTCGCACCCCCCGCCTCCCCTCCCCCCTCCTAGAGAGCAGGTCGTGGCTGTTTTGGGAGCCTGTTTCGAGCAGGCGGAGTCTCCCCCATCGGACGCACTGTTGCAAGCAGTCGCAGTAAGCAGAGGTCTGGAGCCAGACCCCCCCCTCCCCTCCCTTCCGCACAATGTCGGAACGCCGAATAAGACAACGCTCAGATACGGCTGGTCGCGAAATTAACGCCCGTGTCAGGTCTAGGCAACAAGACATCGAAACAGGCCCCCGCATTTCAAGGTGGATGGGGAAGCGGTAGACCCCTCGCAAGAGTGACCGTTTCTTTCGCAGCACGTTGCAATCCCTTCCCGGCGCAGTCGTCCGCCAGTTTTGACATGCGGGGTGTTGGGTTTGGCAGGCTTTCCGGTGTTTTCATTGGGCGACGGTTATTTCACAAACGTCGGTAGTTGCGATGTTCACCGAGTCGCATGGAGGTTTGGGTGGCCAGGAACGGCGTGTTGGTTTATCGTTGGCCAGATCCGCTCAAGACTCGCCCCTGGACCGCCCCCAGGCACCATCCTGACCAGTCTTCCGAGCCGCGTCCAGCCAGAGGCGACGAGGGGGAGGAGCCCGAATAAGGATGGCAAGAGGGAGGAGAATACGGTCGGGAACCTTTGTTTGGCGTGTCGCGCCGCCTGTGCTGGCCCACCACGCCACGGCGCGACATTCTAGCCACGCCTCAGTCCCCAGGCCTCAATGCACCGAGCTCTTCCCAGCCTCCCGTCTCGCGGAGCGGGGCGAAACCGCATAGCGTGTCGTTGGCGCCGCCGCCGCGACACGCTAAGAAAAAAGTGGTTGACCGTAGGAGGGGCTGCAGGAGGAGGATGAGAAAGACGGATGGGAGGAGGAGGGGGAGAAGGAAGGAAGGAAGGAAGGAAGAAAGGAAGAAAGGAAGGAAGGAAGGAAGGAGGAGGAGGAGGAGGAGGAGGCGGAGGATCGGAGGAAGATCGGCGGCGAACCCAGTGGGGAAGTGAGAAGGGGCGGACGTTCCCAGAAGGCTCGGAAGTCCCCCGGCCTTCTGAGAAGTGATGTAAGCTTCCCCGAAAGACGTTGAAAACTTCTCAGAGGGCGCGAGGGCTTCTGAGAAGTCCCGCCGCCTTCTGAGAGGGCCTACTCAGTCGCATTTCCCCCCTTCACTCGCCGCCCCGAGAGGAGGAGGAGGAGGAGGAGGAGGAGGAGGAGGAGGAGGAGGAGGAGGGCAGGGAGGAGGAGCGGAGGAGGCGGAGGAGGAGGAGGAGGGAGGAGGAGGAGGAAGGAGGAGCAGGAAGGAGGAGGAGGAGGAAGAAGAGGCGGAGGAGTTGATGCCCTCCCGCGAGGGGCGACCCCTGCGCCCTCGGGCGGAGCTCCCTCTTCCTGCTGATGTCGGGGCAAGCGAACGTCGAGGGCCTCCACTCGCAGCGCCTCGGGAGCCTGAGCCCCGGACACGTCTTCGGGGAGGCTCGCCGTGCTCCGCTTCCTCCTCCTCCTCCTCCTCCTCCTCCTCCTCCTCCTCATCATCATCATCATCATCGTTCTCCTCCTCCTCGTTCTCCTCCTCCTCCTCGTTCTCCTCCTCCTCGTTCTCCTCCTCCTCCTCCTCCTCCTCCTCCTCGTCCTCCTCCTCCTCATTCGACCTCCGCAGTCGTCATCCTCCTCGTCGTCCTCATCACCTCGCTCTTCCTCTACCTCCTTCGCCGTCCTCCTTATCATCATTTGGCCTCCTCCTCATCCTCCTCCACCTCTCGTACCCATCCTTCGCCCTCCTCCTCCTCCTCCTCCTGCGCCCTCCTCTTCCTCCTCCTTGCCGCTCCTCTTGCCGCTCCTTTTCTGCGCTTGCGCAGGCCGCCGTTGCGCATGTCAAGACTGCGTCCTGGCGGGCATTGCCAGCCGCAGCGGCCCCCACATACGAACGACGACACGGAGCGAGGAGGAGGAGAAGGAGGAGGAGGAGAAGGAGGAAAATGGGGGCCACGGGGAGACGACGACAGGACGGAGACCTACCGAGAGGGGGGTCATCGAAGGCGAGGCGACACGATCACAATCTGTCCTCTTCTTCCCTAGGGCGGTGCCCCTCCCCTTCCTCCCCCTCCTGTTCTTCCTTCCTCGCTCTCTCTCTTTCTCTCTCTCTCTCTCTTTCTCTCTCTCTCTCTCTTGTCTCTCTCTCTCTCTCTCTCTTTCGGTTGGCCACTGGACGTCTCAACGAATGTATGCCTCTCTTTCTGTCTCATGCATGTCCGTACGGGCTTCGCCCCCTGCCGCCGGCCCCTCTTTCGGAGAATAGGCCATGGAAGAGCGAAGTCATGAGGCTTTGGCTTTGCCATGAAGCAGTGCCGGGACCTATTTGTTTGTCGACCCTGACCCCGCCGATCTGCGTGAGGGGTGCCGCCGAATTTCAGACATGTGGCAAATCCCTTTTGTTTTTTGGACCCTGACCCTACGGATCTGCGTGAGGGGTGCCACCGAATTTCGGAAATGTACATAGCAAATTCCCAGTGTTTTTGGACCCTGACCCCGCCGATCTGCGTGAGGGGTGCCCGGAAATTTCAGAAATGTGGCAAATCCCTTGTGTTTTTGGACCCTGACCCTACGGATCTGCATGAGGGGTGCCACCGAATTTCAAAAATGCGGAAAATCCCATGTGCTTTTGGACCCTGACCCCGCCGATCTGCGTGAGGGGCTGCCACCGAATTTCAGACATGTGGCAAATTTCCAAATGTTTTTGGACCCTGACCCCGCCGATCTGCGTGAGGGGTGCCAGGAAATTTCAGAAATGTTGCAAACACCTTGTGTTTTTGGACCCGGACCCCGCCGATCTGCGTGAGGGGTGCCACCGAATTTAAACCATGCGGCAAATCCTTTATGTTTTTGGACCCTGACCCCGCCGATCTGCGTGAGGGGTGCCACCGAATATTAGAAATGCGGCAAATCGCTTGTGTTTTTGGACCCTGACCCCGCCGATCTGCGTAAGTGGTGCCTCCGAATTTTAAAAATGCTGCAAATCCTTTTGTGTCCGCCGATCTGCGTGAGGGGTGCCACCGGATTTCAGAAATGTGGCAAATTTCCAAGTGTTTTTTGACCCTGACCCCGCCGATATGCGTGAGGGGTGTCACTTGTGACCCCCCCCCGGAAAATTCTGAGAACCCTGCAGGGGGACGCTAACCAGAGCAGTTTTCGGCTCCCCCCCTCGCGCGGACAGTAACAATTTACAGTAGGAAGCAGAAAGCAGTATTGTAACACTGGAAACTGGAACTGGTGCAGGGAGCAGCAAGCCTAACCCTCGCAGCCTGATGGCCCCGCAAGGGGACCGGCGGATATGTGTGCACATACCTGTGTCTCTAGATGTTATATATATATATATATATATATATATATGCATTCTCAAAAAAGTAGGAACGGGGGTTGGACTAGTGGGGGTCCCATTTGGCCGGTGGCTGTGGTCACTTCCTTCCTGAAGGCGGCAAGATGCTCCTAGGACCGCCGACAATGGCTCCAGGACGCCCTCAGGGCGGCCCAAAACGCATTCGAGATGGCCCCACAGCGCTTTAGGACGCCTTCTGATGGCATCAAGACGGCCCAAGAGGTCTCCAAGACGCCTCCAGAGGGCTCCCAGAGAGCATTCGAGAGGCTACCGGGAAGCAGAAATCATTGTGTTGTTCCTTATGCTTTTTGTAATGTTTGCATCATCGCCTTTTCGGCAGTCATGGCGTCCAAGATGGCTCAATAGGTCCCGAATATCCCCCCTAAGACGGCCCAAGATGCCCCTAAGACGGCTCCAAGGCACCCCAAGAGGAAACCAAGATCGCCCAAGAGGCACTCCAGACGATTCCCAGAGATGCCCAAGACGGCCCCAAGAGATGTCAAGAGGGGAAGCCCGCCACTCAAGATGGCTCCAGGACGCTGCCAGGGCGGCTCAAGGGGGCTCTGAGATGGCCCTGGAGCGCTCCAAGATGTCTCCAGATGACTTCAAGACGGCTCATGAGTCGGGGATGGACAGACCCCCCTTTAGTAAAACGTGGTTTAGTGAAAACGACCTGAGGCCCAAACCTGGCGGGCGCAAGCCTGGAAAATAACGGCGACGGCGCCCTCTCGAGAACTGAAAACGGACAATTCACTAATCGACGTGCCACTGTTGGGGGTCCTGTCCACCCCCGAATGAGGCCTCAAAGACTCCTCCTGAGGGCTCTCAGGCAGCCCCTTGAAGGTGGCCGCGAGGCAAAATGTATGTGTTGCTTGATCTTAATGTCAACTTCAGCGATGTTTCGGCACGGGGGTCCAAGATGGCCCAAGAGGCCTCGAGAACCGTCCTAAGACGGCCCAAGATGCCCCCAGGACGGCCCCGAGGCATCCCAAGAGGGAGCCAAGATCGCCATAGGACCTTCCAGAGAGAATCCAGGATCGCCCCAGAATCCCAAGAGAAGCCCCGAAGAAGCCTCCGAGACCCTCCAGAGGGGCCCCCCAAGGAGCTCCCAACAGGACCCCACGGGCCTCCAACAGGCTTCTTGACGTTCGAAGAGTGACCCGCAACAACTGACCCATACTGAGGACGAGAAGGCGAGGCTGTTGAAGCCGGCCCCCGACGGCTCTGGGAGCCCCCGAGAGCACTCAAGATCACCCCAAGTGGAACAAAACGGGAAAATCAATGATGTCCTGTTTTCTCGCACTTCTGCTTCCGACACGCTTCCGAGGCTTGCGCATGCCTCCCAACAGAGCTCCAAGAGGCCCCCGAGAGGCGTCCCGAGCGGCGCGAAGTGGCCCCAGGATGCCAAAAGAGGTTCCCATGACGCCCGAAGGACCCCACCGAGGCCCCAAAGACGCTCAGAGCAGGCCCCAACGAGCTCCCAGGAGCCGCCCCGGAGGCACCCAACGCCGAAGAGGGCCCCGAGAGCCCCAAGAGGGGCCCGAGCAGTTTATGTTGGCATGCGCAAACCTCGAAAGCGCATCGGAGGCGGAAATGCCAGAACACTAATATTTCAAAGTTCCTTACTTTTTTCAGTGAGTTCGGCCTCTCAAGGGCTTCCCCGGAGCTCTTGGGGCTCTTGGGGGACTCTTTGGAGGCCTCTTGGGGCGGTCTGTGTCAAGCAGAGGCGAAGCGTCCTGGCTCGCCTATAGCCCTACCAAACAATGTTCTACGAACCTTTTGTGGTTTCCACGAAATGTTCTTAGAACATTTCTGGCGGAGTCTGTCTTGTTTGAACAAATCGGGTCTCTGTTCTAACAACATAGCTGTTGTTCTTAGAACATTTGTGGGTTCTATGAACATTTCGTGGTAGGACTATAGGAATGCCGGGACGGTCGGTCCCTGCTCAGTTTTGGTGCTCTTGGAGGCCTCCAGAGCCAACTTAAAAAATATGAAATGTCCTCAAATCATGTTTCTCAAGCTCGACCCCCTCCCTCCGTTCCCCAGAGTGCGTGTCCACCTTCTACATCCATCGTTGTCTCTCTCTCTCTCTCTCCTGCTCTTGATTCTCCTACGTCCCCCATTCCATCGTATTATCCTTCCTCTCCTGTTCGTTTCTCCCCACTGCGTTATGTTCCCTTCTTCCTCCTCGTCCTTCCTTCACGCCTTCTTCCCTCCGTCTTCCTCATACTATTCCGTCCCCCCCATCCTCATCCTCATCTCTCTTTCCACTCCTCCCTCCCTCCGCCTCTCTCGCCAAGCATCCTGCTCCACAATGTGGTAGGAGACCCGGCTTGACAAGCAAATGGCAACCCCTCAAATCTTTTGTTGTCAAGGTCTACCCCCCCCCCGCCGTCCCCTCCTGTCCAAGGCTTTGGCGTGCCCGCGAGTGCGATTTCGTTTTCTTTATCCCTCGTTGTCCGTTCGCCTTGACCTGTCTTTCCTGTTCCATCCCCTTTCCAAATCGTCCTCCTTTTCCGGTTCTTTTTCCTGGTCCATCCCCGTTCCATCCCCCTTCCAAGTTGTCCGGTTCTTTTCCCGTCTCCATTTCCAAATCCTCCTCCTTTCTTTCATCATCCCTCCTACCCGCTGCGTAATTGTCCCACCTCCATCTTCCTCGTGTGTCTTTCACGCAGTCTTCTCTCCGCCTTTCTCGTGCATTTCCGTGTCTCCTACCCATCGCGGTTCGTTATCCTTGGGCGCTTCTTTGCTTTTGGTTCTCTTTGCGCCTTCCGTTTCACATCCTTCTCCGTCCCCTCCCCTTCCCTCCTCCCAGCAGCGTCTTTTTCCCTCTTCCCTCCTCCTCGTTTCTCCTTCATGTTTGGTTGTTCAATGAGTTTGGCCACTCGAGGGCTTCCCAGGAGCTCTTGGGGGACTCCTGGCGATCTCTTAGGACGATCTTGGGTGCTCTTGAGGGCCGCCATGATTCCCATACCATGATTTACTAATACCATAATGCACGAACGCCCGAATTTCATGATATAGTAGCACCCGAATGCCCCTGCCAACAGACCGCACTACCCTAATATTCGAAGGCCGTAAGTCCGTAACACCCGAATGC